TGTGTGTGTTAGGTTTATTCGTTACAGGACCCACTTGGCGGGTGTAAAATTAGATGTACATTTGCATCTTTTTTCCCATCTCACGACTGTGATGTATATTTACAGTCATATACACCTCCCCATTGCAGGATATTCCGGCAACCAAATGTGTATATTTGATATACACCTCCATATACACCTTACCATTGTGGATGCTCTTATGGCTTGGTTTTTTCAAACTTTATCTCTTTTTGATTATTCTGAGTTTGCACTCTTAGTTGGGATGCCTATGACAGAGTTTCTTCGATCTTGAGTGAACGTTAGTGGAGGAGCCCTAGATTTTCTTAAACTTGATATTAGATTGCTCCGTTATTGTAATGGCCCTCTGTGGCTAGTTTGTATTAGCCATATGTGACTAGTGACTTTTTTGACTGAATTAAGAATGCAATCCCAAAATATCTCAAAAAAAGAGAGAAAAAATGTTACACTTCAGCCAAAAATTATTTGCATGACTATCATAAGGCTCTCTTTCTTTTTGGGACAGCAACTATTTTAAGGGTTGATTGCTAGGTCACCATACTCTATCCATGCTTCTATTTGCATAGTCAATGCGGCTCTGGCATTTTGCCCCGAATTGGGCCTACTTTGGCCGTGGGTCAGGCTTTCCATGACCTGCTGGACGATTATAACCAGAAAAATAATGGAATCAAATAAAATAACTACAACAACTATCAGATTTTTTTTCCTTCGTAGGACATCCCTTGTTGGTTAAGAACTGAAATACTGGGAGGCCACAACTTCAAGCTATATTAATTGAATTTGTACATTAACAAGGAAAAAAAAAACTATATCCACTTGATCCAAATTTTAAAAATAAAATATTTTGACATTGTTGTTGTCATCTATGATGTATGTTGGTTATGTTTTATATTATTTCCCTAATAATTAAAGTATTTAGTTGACAATTTTCCGCTTATATATATATATATATATATATGCATTGGTTTCAAAGCTACAAAGGTCACGATTTAAAAAAAAAGAGTTTTTACAAATCTTGATAAATTGACTGGTTCATTATCAGGTTCCTTATGGAACTCTCGTCACAAACAGATTATATAATTCGACAGAATTTTAATAAATAATAATGGATAATAATGGACGGTCTATATACATGCAATGTCTAATCGTAGCATCACATTCTATGTATTTTTTTACTCAACATTTGGTACACATAAGTCGTATCGATCGAAGCTCATTGGAATAGGGTACTCTAAACATTTTTTTGTTTTGTTTTACAAAGCGATACTCTAATACCTCTAAAATATTCTAAACTACGAAGAGAGGATATACGCACGATCAATTGGCCTAACTCGCATATGCTGAATCAATTTAACTGTTAGAAGTTTGATATGTCTACACTTCTAATTAACTGTTAAGTGATAAGTCAACAATGCATACGTTTCTATTTGTTGTTCTTCCTGGGTAGAAGTTTGATATGTCTAACACTTCTTAACAGATAGATAGCACTCTTTTATCATCTATCTTAATCATAAATATTTGAGGGCAACGAAAGGTCGAAGAAATGTGTTCTTAGGTATCCTAAAAGGGCACAAACAATTGACATTTTCTTACTTAATTTTTTTAATGCTCATAATTAGGCAGAAAAAAAGAAGAAGAAGTCATTTTATCCATAAAGTTTAGCTTAATGACTGAGCTATCAAAGCCTTTCGAAAGTTCTGGATTAAAATTCTGGCATATTACATAGTTCAACACAACTTAAATGAAAGCACGTCTATTTTCATAAATAAATAAAAATTTAAAGTACGTATACATATGCGTCATATTTTTATTTAAAATAAAATTATGAGATGTCCCCTAATTGCATCACATTTCGAGTCTTATTTAGATTGAGCGCAGTCATCCTTCTCATATTAAAGTATATAAACCTCACTTATGATACAAATTCGAAATTAGCATATCATTATTTTATAACAAAGATTTCAATTAAAAATGCACCTGTGCTTGCTGACTATTAGCTGAGATAATAACAGGTTGAGATGCATTTCAACGCATCTCGTTGTTCACGTACGTCACTACCCAAAAATATAGGGCAAGAGTTAGGTCATAAAACTAGGGGTGGAAAAAGAAATCCGCCCTTATACAAGATGGTCTATAAATGCGGGTCTTTTTAATCAAGACAATGAGCCGGCCCCCTCACACCCAAATTTGAATAATCCTTTTTATAAATTAAGTTAATTTAAAGTCGTTTGTATAAAAAAAGAATATGTCCTTCATATTTACCCTTCAACAAATGTTACCTCTCCTAGGCAACCGATACACCCAAACTCAATTGGAATGGGAATCATGCGGACCAAAAAAACAAGGTAGAAAAAGGACTTGCCGTCTCGAGTTACAAAATAGAGAGGACCCCATGCCAGTGCCACTCGTTTGATTAGAGGATTAACCTTTAACCCTTGTCGCTATTAAATTTGTACACCAACCAAATGGTCAAACTGGACCTATCAAATTTTGGCTAAGATTACAAGCACGACCCCATTAATGCCTCAAATGTGAGGAGAAAAAAAAATCAGTCCATATGATATCGTGAGTTGTCACAATCATTTCTTGTTCCTTCCGTTTGAACATTGTCTAATTAATCACATATTAACAAAGAGAATATCAATTATGGATTTTGGCAGTTTTCCATTTTCCTAGATATATATTTCCTTTCACTTTCGTTAGTAAGGCATAGTTCAGTTGGTTGAGTTCTTTCATTTTCATCAACGTAAAGAGAGATTCGAAATCTCCAGACATCCATTGAATATTTGTGTAAACCGTTTTTTTCCAATCACTTGTACTAAAATATATATTTTTGTATATATATTTCCTTTCGCTTTCATGCTACTATATTTATATTTAAGCAATTTGAGGGAATCAATGACATTGTGCTGCAAGCTAAAAGGGTTTCATCGTGCATTTCAGCTAAGCCTTGTTGATGGCTGACAAAGCTGAGCTAGACAAACCCTAGGCCTTGTTGGACACTAGCAGTGGCAAGTAGCCACACAAAGCAGAGGAAGGACAATGCCACTTGGAGAGTACTCTCTCTCTCTCTCTCTCTCTCTCTCTCTCTCTCTCTCTCTCATCATCTGCTGTCCTAGACAGACTCTCCTTTGGCCTTTGGCCTACGGGGATTTGATTGAATTGGCATCTGGTGCCAATTTTGGTAGGCTTTGTACTTTCTATCCACACCACAACAATAAAAATTCTAACATTGGTTTGGTGGGCTGTTGATGGTTACAAGAAAGGCTCATTGGGCGGTTACCATTTCCAATACTAGTTGTCGATCGTCTGCCAATATTCTATGGAAAAGGAACATATTCTCATACTCAACTCTCACCATGCACATTCTATGAATAACCAAAAAAGGATTTCGGCATTTTCGTTCCTTTTGAAGCCAAACAATATCTTTGAAAGCAAAGGTTTACATACTACTACTTACAAGGATGCTCCGAATCTTTTCAAGATATATATAGGGGGCAGGCAAGTTTGGGTTCCTAACACGTGTCCTTTGTATATTTAGCTAGAAAAAGTGGGGACAATATCATATGCTATGCCTACTCACGATCACATTGGTACATAATCCACTGTGATGATCTATGGTTCTTAAAATAAGCTTTTATTCATATCTGTCAGACAGCCAACGAAATTGCTTATCGGTTCTCGAAATTCGCTTTACATATTGAAGATTCTAGAATGAGATTTGAGTAACCTTCAGATTTTATTTCTGATGCACTTTTTGAGGATTGCAATTCTTAATGTCTTTTTCAGATTAAGGAATATAGGAGAAAGGAGTGCTCTATCAGGGGTGGAGTCTTTTTGATCGTTATGCGAGAAGAGTGTAGCTACTACTTGGCTATAAATGCTTGAGCTCTTATATGTTGAGATGCTCGCTAATCCTCTTAATCTTAGTCTTAAGCTTTGATTGTACTACTTACTTTTCAATAATATATATATTATTGCTTTTACTCACAAAAAATAATAATAGTATAGATACGATAAACTTAAAAGATGTAGACTTCTTTAACCAACCCTGCATGAGATCACGAGATGCGATTATCAAAGTGTACTGGACATTTCTTTTTTCAGTCCCATAATGGCGTGTATATATTGGAGTTAGTTGGAAAGCACATGATGAAGTCCCGGCCCAATCGAACTATTTTCATCATTTTATGGATATCCAATTTTCCATATATGTGATAATGCCCACTACTCATGTGAATTATGCTTTGTGTGCACAAATGATGTAAAACAATATCTGAAGAGTTGATTTTTGGCCCAAGGGCTTTTAGGAACCAATGGGATCCCACATTTCCATTGGTTTTCATATAAAGAATTTTGTATAAATACTGTTTCACAAAGTGACACAGGGCTTTAAATGGCATGCAAAAATATTATAAGGTTCTCTTCGGTCTGAAAAATCTTATAAGGTTAAAAACTCAAAATGTTGTAATATAACTCCCAAGGTTTTTGTTTTTTACAATTCAATATTTTTAATTATTGTAATGTATGACAATGGGGATCGAATACGGGTGCAAAGGGACATGCACAATGCCTTTGCCGACTAGCCTAATGTACACGAAAGTAATTGGTTGAAAATATAATTTTTCAACTTTTGAACGTTAAATATGAAGCCCAAATTTTCTTTGCATTGGGCTTCAACATCAAACTACGAAATTGGGCTTCAGATTGAATTCAAAAGTGGCAATCATCCTGAACCCTTGACCCTACAAACAATCTTCATATCCATTTCCAGAGACTCCGTAGGAGAATCTTTTGATTTCCCATTTGTATGATGATGATTACATTTTTTGTCTGTCCAAAGAGAATGCAAGTCAGAAAGGCCAATTACATGCGAAAATTGAAGAGAAATCAACAAATATTTGCTAAGAACCTTACCTTGACATTAACAACAGTAAAATAAGGGACTAAATCAGACAGTGGTAATTTAGCATCAATATTACCTACCCTCATGTAAACTTATTCGCCATGGTTTCCCCATGCGTGAGTCATATAGTGCTATGCTGCAATCACTACCCAGAAAAAAAAATATCATATATAATTTTCTCTCCTAAATATCATTACAAACAAGGAAAGATGGAATAAAATCATTACAGAAAGCAGGGATTGAAACCAATTATGTCGTTATAGCAAAAGAAACCACCAACTTCCCAAAATGGATGAACTAATTGCCGGTTTGGCACTTTACTACATGTTCACAGCATAGCAGAAAGATATGCAGATTTTGGGTAATATTGGAATTTTCAAATTTCCTTCAAATTCATGGCATATTAGAGGAAGAGAGTACAAGGGGGAAGAGGAACATGTTTCCATAAGAAAAATGGACGCTGACCAGCACACAAGCTGCCTTTTGCAGCTGAACCTTCTTTTACAAGAAATGTTTTTGAAGATGCTATATACTTGCTTTGCAGCTGAACCTTCTTTTACAAGAAACGTTTTTGAAGATGCTATATACTTGAGTCTTTTATCAGTACCATTCCTTATTACACCAAAACAAAAGTAGCTGCAAGCTCAAATTAGAAAGCAATTTATCCAGGACCAAAAACCAATATAAACAAGCACATGGTATGGTATCTAATGTGCTTGATGTACTAGTTTTCATAACTAGATGAGTATCTTATCTACAAGCATCAATGCATACCTTGCTAATGTTGCCAAGATATCTGGCTGTCCAGGATTAAATCGAACAGATACAACTGTGTATGTTCCCCATTCAAAACTCTGCTCTGGTGCAGACCTATGCATCACAAAGTCATTGTCATGGTAAGAGGGATAAACAGTTTTTTTTTACTTAATAGAAGAATAACCAGGGCAGGAACAAAACCTGTTGTGGTTTCATATATCTACTCCAACTCCACCCGTAGCAAAACAATCAAAATTCCACTGGTGATCAACTGACCTGAAAATGAGAAAGTAAACCTTAATAGCAGAAACCTTGAAAATCATAACACATATCAAATAACTTGTAAAATTAACTAATTAGTTTCTTCCGAACATAAGTTTCCAATGGCTGCAAATATCATTTATAATTAGCTAGGTAGGTAATATAGAATACGCATGCATTGGAAAGACATATGACAGTATTAGGAAGGCAATACCACAGCAGATTTATTGGATGATATGTAATATACATTTCCATTTAGGAAATGCTATATACATATCCATCCTGGCCACACAGACACACAGAGTACTTCTGCGTATATATCCACCAAGAAAGCACCAAATTTTTTAGTTTTTATTTTTTATTACATCACAGAAAGAGAAAATAACCTGGAAAAGATAAAATGCAGAAGAACACACACTAAATACAATCTTTATGGCCCTGTTCTCAGCCAATCAAGAAAATAAACTGAACCCTAATTAAGAAACGCTTAATTGGGAATTCGAGTTCTGTGTCTTAATTGGGAATTAGGGTTCTTCATCGCAGAACCCTGATTCTTGATTTGGTTTCAGATTAAAAACAACCGTAATTCCCAATGAAGCATGTCTTGATTGAGGATTAGGGTTTAACTCATCGATGAAACGAAATCCCTACAGAAAACCGAACAATTAGGGAGATAATTTACCTCTTCAATCCAGCAAAAAAAACCTTAAAAGTACGGAATAGGAATGGGAGGTTTAAACCAGGAGGACCTCCTACAACCACTGATACCATATTAGATTACCACTTGACCCCAAAAGTTTAAGCTGTTAGAGAATGACTCGATAATGTATATCAAAATAACAAAAACCCTTGTTTTCACTTCTGGCTGTCAACACCCTAACCATGTTAGAATCCGTGGCAAATAATTCTTTCAAAGACAATGCACCTCCAAGGTATAGCAGCACTACCAATTGCCATATTGTAATGTCTCCCAACATGCTAACATGATTTCCGAAAAAAGAGTTTCAAAAGAGAAACTCCATCTAAGAGGATTCTAATAGCAAGCAGTATGGAACCAACAAGTTAGGCTACATGTCGCCTGCTCTCTTTTCCAATTATCAACCATCTTCCTGATAGCAAATACTACAAACATCAATTTCTGTACACTTGAGCATCAAACTATGTTTAAATCCTCATTCTTATGCCTACCAATAGTCTCGACAAGAACACAGCCCATTCTTAAAATGGTGAAAACGAGTAGCATCTCTCACAATGATTTCTCTGCCCACAAGCTTGGATATAAATTTGATGGCAGAATGACAGTCATTACAAACTCTGAGGTTCTTCATGATCCTCAGTGTAGTGTTCTCTGGAGTATTTATTAGCCCAAAAGCAATGGCAAGTTTCTCACTGTGATATTTAAGCATCTTCTCCTTTGCTTCTTCGCTAACGTCATGCAATACTGATTCAGTGTCAGGAATAAAGCCAATATTTTTGATCTCTTTCCATATCTTTTCCATCATCTTGTAGATTGCATCTCTCTGTGCGTGACCTCCATCTTCAACCCCAAACACATGGACTTTGTTTTGAATCTGAATCCAACTAAATCCTTGTTCTTTCTTCACTCTCCTATCCTTCATTGACTTTCTAACTTGTGCAGCATCTGCCCATCTTCCACAAGCTGAATACAAATTAGCAAGGGATGAGTAGGCCCCACTGTTGTCTGGATCTATAAGCAGCAATCTTTCTGCTGCAACCTCTGCCAGATCAACATTTTTATGAACCTTACAAGAAGATAAAAGTGAACCCCAAGCTATAACATCTGGCTCAATTGGCATACTTTGTGTAAAATTGAACGCTTCTTGAAGCAATCCAGCACGCCCAAGCAGATCAATCATGCATGCATAATGGCTATGGGTGGGTTCAATTTTGTGTACGTTCCTCATCAAATTATAGTAGCTCCTGCCCTGTTCCACCAGTCCCACATGTATACAGGCAGAAAGCACGCCAACATATGTTATATGGTCAGGCTTAATACCAAGTGACAGCATCTTCTCAAAAAGTTCAATGGCTTCTTCCCCGAGACCATGTTGGGCCAGGGCTATAATCATGGAAGTCCAAGAAACAGTATCTCTGTTCCAGTGAACCAAATTGAATACTTGCTTTGCACCACTGATGCTTCCAGCTTTGGAATACATTGAAATTAGAGCATTGCTCACAGAAACTGAGTACACTTCCCCTGACCTCATGGCACTTGCATGAATTTGTTTACCATAGTCTAAAGAAGCCACGCTTGAACTGACACTTAACATAGCTGCTAAGGTGTAGCTGTTTGGTCTGGGGCCTTCATTTATCATCTTCCTGAAGAGCTCCAAAGCATCATCATTCAACCCATTTTGCACATAACCAACAATCATTGCTGTCCATGCAACCACGTCGCTGTCTCTCAATGAATCAAATATCTGTCTGGCTGGGTTTATATCCCCAAGCTTTATGTATCCATCCAATAGGGCAGTAAAAGCTATAACATTGAGGTCTGAAGTCACACATTGCTCTAAAACCTTTTGAGCAATTTCCAACCCACCAGACTTAGCATACATTGAGATCAAAGCATTTTTCACTGCTTGGGATGTGTCAAGCTCAGCTGTTATAATAAGAGCATGGATTTGTCTCCCGATTTCCAACTTCTCAAGGTTAGCACAAGCTGACAAAACACTTGACAAAGTGAACTTGTCGGGCTTTAGAAAAGAATCCTTGAGCATACTTGAGAAGATAGTCAGTGCCTCCATATCAAGCCCATGCTGATTGTATCCTGCAATCATTGAATTCCAAGAAACGACGTCGCGTTCTGTCATTTGCTTAAACTGAACAAGAGCAAGGTCAGCACGACCACATTGCATATGCAAATAAATCATAGCATTCCAGCTCGATGTGTTTTTCAATCTTATCCTGTCAAAAACAATCTTTGCTGTCCTTGGATCACCAGATTTTGCATACATGTTTAGAAGACAGTTTGCAACAGAAACATAACTACCAACAGCAAGTTTAACAACAAACGAATGAACCTTCCTACCAACATCCAAAGCCTTGACAGCAGCACATGCGGAAAGAATATTAGTAATCGTGAACTGGGTCACCGTAACTCCATCTGAAATCATATCTACAAACATCTGAATCGCATTACCAAAACGACCCATCTGATTGTAACCCACGATCATGGAAGTCCATGAAACAGAGTCGCGTTCAGGCATTTCATTAAAAACTCTAAGTGCTGCATCAAATTTTCCCTGCTTTGCATAAGCAGAGAGAATCGCATTCCAGGAAAGTGTATTCCTCACAGGCATTTCCTCAAACACACGGTGAGCATCCAAAGAATACCCAGTTTTCACGTACATGTTCATAAGGTTATTCATTAAGAACACTCCGAAGTGAAGCCCGGATTTGATGATTTGGGCATGGATTGATTTCCCAGAAAATAAGTCTCTCTTTCTGAGGCATGCTTGTAGGTGAAATGCGTAGGAATCCGAAGAAGTGGCAAGGGAGGGCGGCTTTAGGGTCTCCATTGGAATTAGACACTAACGTGAAGTACCAACAAGTTAAACAAAAATAAAATTAAAAAAAAGGGACCAATTGTAACCAAGTGGCCAAGAAGAATTAGCTGATGAAAATGTGGTTATGGTATCTTTAATTCGAGCCACCAAGTATGGCAATGAGGGAATAGTGTTTGAATTGCCACTGAATTCTAACGGGGTTGGATCAAATCAACATCAACAACAATTACCACCTTCAAGTGAGGGGAAGTGAGAGACATAGAAGAAAGAGGGAAAGACAGCAAGAGAGGGAGCGAAACAAAGAAGAGGGCTATCGGTGAACAGGGGAGGGAGGGGGTGAGGGGCCTATTGGGTGAGATTGGGTGGCTGCTAGGTTTTACTTTTAATCCTTGTAGTTTGATGAAATTTCTACTTTCGTCCATATGGTTTCAATTATGACAATTTAATCATTTTAGTTTGATTTCATTGCAATTTAAAGACACGTCCAAATTTCCGTCTAATTTCTTGATGAAATAAAAATGTGTCTCTTATGTTACGTGGAGGGGTATTTAGGAAGGAATTAAATGAGAATTTGGATGTGTCCTTGAATTGTGATAGAATCAAACTACATGAGTTAAATTGACAAAATTAAAACTAGATAGACCAAAGTGGAAAAATCGGCAAACTATAGGAACCAAAAGTAATTGTTTCTCATATTTTTATTATGAGGAATGTTATCTACCTTTCCCATTTACCTTCCCCAATTTGTCTTTCCCATTCTTTTGTTTATTTTTTTGTTCGAAAATGAATGACGCCAACTACATAAACAAAGTAAGCTGCAAAGAAGCAAATAAACAAAGACGCCACCCACAATAAGGCTACAACGTCCAATCTTGCAGACTGCAAGCAAGCAACTAAGAAGGGGGGCAAGGGAGACCATCATTGTTGAGAACATGCACTAGCGAAGATAGTGGTCTATTGAACCAGGTCACAGGGTTCATCCTCGCACTTGCCAGAGACGCAGTGTGATCTGCTACCACATTAGCTGTTCTTAGACACCAAGCCCAGCTAGTATCAACAAAATTTGGATGGCCAAGCTGCTCCTTTATCTTACAGAGGAAAGGATACAGCTCCCACAGTCATCTCGAAATGTTTCCTTGCACTCCACGAATCACTTCTCTACAATCCATCTCAAACTGAATTTGACGAAATTGATGCTCAATAGCAAAGAAACACGCTTCTACAGCAGCTAACGCTTTCGCTTCCAACGCCGAATTTGCCAAACAGGGACACACCTTGGCTGCAATAAAAGATCCCAGATGATTTCTAGCAATTAAACCAATGCCACCTCGTTGAGAATCTGCATACCAGGCTGCATCAATGTTTATTTTTATTTTTGAGGCAGAAGGGGGGCACCAAGTACAAATTCTCTACTCTGGAGGGGTGGAAGGCCTTCTAGTTGCCACTATGTGAGCTTTTGCTCTCAAAAAATTAGAGATAGCAGAAGAGGATGCAATCACAGTCGCCTTCGGGGATGGACTATAGCCTTCCATGGCCGCTTTACAGCGTGACTTCCATATATTCCAGCAAGTGAAGGCCAAAGATGATGTTATTCGGGCTCTATCCACCTTGCTCAACCCATCATGAAAGAGAATATCATGCAACCACCCATTCAAAGTTGTGATTTCATTTCTGCAGATTCGAATGTTCAGGCTACTACCAAACCAAACTGGATCAACCCATGGACAAATAAGCAAGACGTGTTCCACATATTCCACTCCAGAGCTGCAAAGGCTACAAGTAGGTGAATTAATGGATTTCCTTTCAAAAAGGCTCTCATTTGCTGCTAGACTATTCCTCAAAGCACGCTAGAGGAAATTTCGAATCTTAGGAGGACAATCAAATTTCCAAATAAGTTTCCACATCCTAGGATCAATGGAAGAGGAAGAAGAGGCGCTAGCACGACCCCCTCTAGTGGAGCACCCATGCAGCCAATGATAACCTGACTTTACAGTGTACTTCCTCGATTTCTCCCACGGCCAAATCAATCTATCACTAGCCGCAGCAGACCCAATCGGGACCGTGACAATAGCCGCAACTTCCTCTTCACTTATCAACCTCCTAATAGAATCCAAATTCCAGGTGTTAGTACATATGTCGATTATAGCAGCAACCTTTAAATTTGGATCAAAATCAGAAGGGGAAGTACAATGGGGATGCAAATTTGGAAGAGACGGGACCCAACGATCAATCCACACCCTGGTTTTGGACCCATCCGCAGTTTTCCACTGAGCACCATTAAAAACGAGGTCACAGGCATCAAGCAAACTCGACTAAGCCCAAGAAGCTCGGCTGCCCTTTTGAGCCTTCATGAAGGTGGAATGGGGAAAATATCTGCTCTTAAGAATTTTTGACCACCACACATCCAGTTCGGTGAGGAGACGCTAACACTGCTTGGCTAGGAGGGAAAGGTTGAACTCTTGAAAGTTCCTGAAGCCAATTCCCTCATTTTTCTTCGCTAAACTCAGCTTCTCCCAACTAACCCATTGGATTTTCCTCTTCTGCTCCCTTTGACCCCACCAGCAGTTGGCCATAATGGAATTAAACTCATTACACAGGGAGTTAGGAATGAGAAAAATGCTCATGGGATAGGCTAGAATAGCCCGGACCATAGCCTTCAGCAAGACCTCTTTACCTCCAACTATAGACTTTCTTGCAAATCCTTTCCTTGATATACATCAGGGCATCTTTCTTTGCTCTTCCCCATAGAGTAGGAATATCAAGGTATTTTCCGGGATCTTCGACATCTCTAATTCTCAGAGAGCTTTCAATGTTGCATTCCTAAGAGGACACAAATTAATGTGCAAACAACTAATTAAAAATACCCGCAAGTGCACGAATCTATTGAAGTATAGATTATGTAAGTACGGGGTCGATCCCACGAAGAACTTGTC